GCAACTACTGTAGCTTTTTGATCTGTTGACAATAAGGGGGTTTTGAACATTATATTTATTCTATATTTTGGAGGCAATTATTGCTCAAGAAAAGTTCTGCACTGACATAACTTGGAGTATGAAACCCTCTATACTCAGAGAAAATTGGCCTTTGGGGTCCTTGAATTCCCTTCATGGATTTGGTGGGCCTACGAACATAAAGGTTAATTTCAGCTTTCATTTTTAAAAATAGTATTTCTTGTCTGTTTCATTTTGAAAAGCGCTTTGAAAGAGTAAACTAACTTAAACCAGTGTAAACTGATCATTAGTGTCACTGATTTTTCCCCAAAATGACAGGTTATTCACAGACCTTCCTATAGTCACTCATGGTTCATTTTTGGGACTCATCATGAAAGACGTGGACACAGTTACCTTGATTTGAGGAGACCCTACTGTATCATCAGGTGCTACTATTGCAGATGGGCCTGCTAGTTCTGTTTGTTCAAATGCATAATTAGGTAGATCTCAGTGAAATGCTTATTATCAGCTGTGATGCAGTTTGTTTCAGATGTTGAATATATTGCCTGCAAAGTTGGTTTCCTGTCTGAATCATTATCTGAGAGTCTTTTTGATTAAAATTAATTCTTAGGTGTAGTTGTTGTCTATAGGTTATATGTATGTGAGCAAACATTGCATAGTTCTAAAACATAGCACCCAGATCAGTTCACAATGGTAGAAAATAGTGCAGCTAAATAACAGCAAGTGTGACCTCTGGCCACAAAGTCTAATAGCATGAGAGGCGCCTGGTCTAGTAATTTAAGCACATAACTGAAAACAAAGGACTCCTGCTTTCTAATCTTGTCTCTGACCCTGGGTGTAGTTTGGGGGAGCAGTACCCCCCAGACTGCAAGCCTCAGGCACAGAATTTACCCCTCCCCCGACATGTCCACATTAGCCTGACTGGAACTGCCCCCCCCCCAATATAGAAATCAAACTACATCTATATCTCTGACACAGATTCTTGGACTAAGTCAAGTCACTACCATTCATTCCTAGTAAAATGGGGATAACACTTACCTCTAGTACTTACCAGGCAGGTTGGAGAATCTCCTCAACATTTGTAATTTACACAAGTTGAAGATTTGCCCCGTCTGATTAACTATTTAATGCTACTACTAACGCTAGTACATAAATGCTAAAATTCACCTTAATATGACTGTTGAATGGCTAGGGGGTGAGCAGAGATTTCGAGCCTGCCTTATTTGGATAATAATTCCTTGAAAAACTGTTTTAATCAACAAATGAACAGAAGGAAGCCTTGCTTGTGTATGGTCAAATCTTATGTCAAATATCCAAGATAGATTGTTCGATGCTATTGTATATTCAGACAGATTATTTCCTTGTCCTTTCAGGCAAAAAGTACTTTATTAATATCAAGTGATCAAGAAAGCACATAGTTTTATCTTATGCACAGTCTCTGGGATTTCCATAAATTCAGATTAAGCTTAGACTACTGACTTGAAAATGAATTCAGAAATTTTGTTTTTTGTTTCCATCCACTTGTTTTTGGATTGACTGATATTGATCATTTTGAATTTCACCAATCTATATTTGTTCCATTGGAAATTTCCTTTATTGGTTTTAACCGTTGCTTGTTTTTTTCAAAGGTCAATGTTTGCGCAAAAAAAAAAAAAAAAAAAATACCCAATAAACAAAGTACCCACTGTAATTTTCCAACTATTCCTCCCCACTGCAAGCAAGCCAGTTTTATATAAGACTGAAAGACTGTAACTCAGGTTGTTGAGGTTGTATGTGTTTTCTTCATGAAATAAATGTTTGAATAAATATTAAGTTACACTAAAATATAAGTTTATATATGTTAAGGATTAGATTTAACCTGAAGAGGTTATATTTTACACTGTAGTCGAAACAAGAATTTAAATTTTTGGAAGGGCTTCCTTACTTTTACGCTTTGAACCATTCTGTAGTGTGAGTTTTGACCCCCACCTTCAAGTACATATAAGGCTTTTTTCAAAATAAAACAGACATGGGGTCTTTTGGGAGGTTGCAAAATACTCATACAAAAGTACATTTAAAAAAAAAATTGTGGGCTGGAGTTGCTACAGCTAGCTTCTAACCCAACAGTGATGTGAATATTTCTTGTAGTGGAGGATCTTTTCAGTATTTTGGGGTTCTGAATGAGTTTATAATAAAATATTGAATAGGTGTTGTTGACTTTAATTTTGAGTAGAGGAACAGTTTTCTCTTAAACTTTTATATTCACTCCAAACACCATTCCTCCTGTGGAATACTTGTTCCACTGGACTATTTTTCCCCTCATATAAACAGAGCAAATCCTATATGGTATAGCAGTATATCTTGATAAACATTTTGTAGTTAGGAAAAAAAACATTTCATGTGTCCTGAAAGAAGTTTCTGGAATACAATATAAAAAAATAAAGATGTATGAACATTTTCTTCTTTGAGTGATGGTCCCTATATGGATTGCAGATGTGTGTGCACATGTGCGCCATGCGATGGAGCTGGAACTTTTTGTAGTAGTGTCCATTGACTTGCACATACGTTTGAGGTTTTAAGAGGCTGTGCAGGTCGACGCTGTTCCAGTTCCCCCTTACTGCCACATGGCCAGAGTCAGACCACCTGTTCCTCGGTGCTCTTAGCTTCCTAAGAGAACTCTGTCTCTTCCTGCTGTTATACACAGTTTTATAGTTTTTCTAGTTGCCTAGAGTTAGATGGTTAGATCTGCTCTCTTGTTGGACTTTGTTACTATGGGGTGACCCCTCACGGGGACTGTGTCCCAGCAGGCCAGCTTCAAAGACTGTGCTTCATGCCCATGCTCCTTCTCTGTGAGTGATGAGCACCAATGTTGTCTCTACTGCTTTGGTGAAGTCCACATCATCGCCCACTGCTCCATCTGCTGCTCGTTCCTGCCTCACACTTGGGAAGCCAGAGAACTCTGCCTCTACAAGTATCTGATGGAGGAGGCTATGCGCCCATGTGCGCAATCGGATCGGATCCACCAGAGTGGCACCTGTCACCACCAGTGAGCATGCCCCTAGTTCCCTCTTGCATGCTGGTGCCCCTGGTACAGCCGCGACCGCAGGAGCACTGTGTACATAAGAAGCACTGCCGTAAGCATAAGGGTGGATCCCTGACAGGGACTGGCCCTAAGCACAATGTTGCCTTCCCGAGCTGCGTCAGGTTGGGCGAGAAATCGTGTGCCGATTCAGATGCTCCACCTCCTAAGAAGCCCTCACAGAGCATAAGTTGAGGCACCACCGCAAGCCCTCTGCGCTGCCTCCAGCCACAACTGCTGATCCGCTGCCTATAGAATTTTGTTTTACTAAGGGATATGCTGTATGATTGAAGATGACCATTTGTATCATTGTTGCTGCCACTGTTACACAATTGCAACAAATCTTATACAAAGTGTATCATAAGGTGTCAATGGAAAAGTTACAATCTGTCAGGTATGATTATCCTAGTTAAATCCATGTATCATCACTGTATCTGAAGTTATGAATATTGGCTATGTATTGGTATCTCAAATGAGAAGGTCACTTACCCTGTGCAATAACTGAGGTTCTTTGAGATGTGTGTCTTTATGGGTGCTCCACTGTATGTGCGACAGTGCCCCCTGCATCTGGGATTGGAGATCTTCTTCGGCAGTGCCCATCGCACTGCACATGTGCAACTCCCACCTTTCGCACTCTGAGAGGGAAATATATATAGTGCTGTGCGGTCTGACCGTTCCCCAGTTCCTTCTCTGCCGCAGAGCTTATGTTTCAGTTCCGAAGCAGAAGGGAGGAGAGCAGGTAGTTGAGCGCCTATAGCGATACACATCTCAATCTCAGTTACTGCACAGGGTGAGTAACCTTCTCTTCTTCAAGTGATGTCCCTATGTCCACTGTAGGTGACTAAAAAGCAGTGCCCCTAATTGAAAGACTGGGGCTTCAGAGTGGTATTTACTGAAGATGATTGAACAGTATGCTCTAGGAGAGTGTCTGCAGTGGTGGTGCGAGTAATGGCGTAGTGACGGGCAAAAGTGTCAGCTGATGCCCATGTGGCCACTTTGCAAATGTCAGCAATGAGGACATGATTGAGAAAAGCAATGGAGGTGGAGAATGGGTGATATGTGCTCTCATTCCAGTAAGAGGTTGTCGATTGTGTAGTTGGTAGGACAGATGTATACACTGCAAGATCCACTTGGAAAGGTGTTGCTTAGAGATGGTTGTGCCCTTGGATCTTTTGGCCGTTGAAAGGAATAAACATGGCCATTTTCAGAAAGGTTTAGTTGTGTCCAGGTAGAAAGCCAATGCTCATCTGACATCCAGGGAGTGCAGTGCTGCCTCCTGTCGGTTACCATGAATCTTTGGAAAGAAGCAAGGAAGGTGGATAGGTTGATTAAGATGGAAAGAGGATGGTACCTTGGGTAAAAATTTGGGATGTGGACATAGTGTAACTCTGTCTTACGAAAAATTGTGTATAGGGGATATGCCATAAGGGCTCCAGTTTCACCGACCCATTGGCAGATGTGATGGTGAGAAGAAATGCCATTTTCACTGTTAAATGAACATAGGAGCATGTTGCCATTGCTTCGAATGAAGGTCTATTAAGAGAGCATTGGATGAGGCCAGAGTCCCAGGCTGAGGTTGGATCCCGTATGTGAGGGTAAAGATTTTGGAGGCCCTTTGGGAAACATTTCATGAGTGGGTGTGTGGAGATGGAGTGGCCATCTATGTGGCAGTGGAAAGTCGTGATGGCTGCCAAATGCACATGAATGGAGCTGGTGGATAATCCCAATTGTTTAAGGTATAAGTATAGTTCAGGATAAGTAGTAGTGGAGCGCTCATTGTGTCCCAGTGATGGGAGGAGCACCACATTGGAATCTAGTCCATTTGTGGAGATAAGTGCATCTAGTCATGTCGCATCTGCTATTCAAGAGTATCTGTTTAACTACTTCTGAACAGGTTATTAACAAATCCCGGAACCATGTTTGCAGGTGGAGCAGCTGTGGATTGGGGTGGAGGATGTGACCTGAATCCTGTGAAAGGAATCACGGAGTTGGATGGAGAGAGATCGGTCAGCATGCCATCATGCAAACGAGGTAAGTATACCAGATCTCTCGTGGCCATGTTGGAGCTATAAGGATGACATGGGCTCAGTCCCTCTGTATCTTGTGGAGTACTTGAAAAAGAAGGGGAAAGGGAGGGAAGGTATAGAGCAGTGGCACATCCCATGTGATGAGGAATGCGTCTCCCAGAGATCTATGTCCCAGTCCCACTCTTGAGCAAAATTGAGGGCAGCAGGTGTTTTGTGGTGTGGCCAAAAGATCTCTGGTGGGGAATCCCAGTAGTTGAAGATTATCTGAAGAATACACGTATCCAGTTCCCACTTGTGTTCATGGGAGAATCTCCTGCTCAATGAGTCGCAGTGGTGACTCAGGCATGTCAGATTCAACAGTAGTGTTCTGATGGCCAGAGAGTTGTGGCTGAGGTGGTGATGTTGTGTTGGATACACCAGTTCCATAATTTCAGTGCCTCTAAGCATAAAGACTGGGACCGTGATCCGCCTTGCCTGCTTTGTAAAACATGCAGGCAATATAGTCTGTCATGACTCTGATGGTGCAATGTGAAATCACTGGGAGGAAATGTCAGCAGGCATTGTGGACCACTCGTAGCTTCAGGAGGTTGATGTGTAGGGTGGATTTGGTTAAGGACCATCTGCCCTGCACTGTATGAATGTGAAGGTGCGCTCCCCAACCGATTAAGGAGGCATCAGTTGTTAGAATCATGGTGGGTGCCAGTTGAAGGAAAGGAACCCCGACACAAATGTTCTTGGGCTGTGTCCGCCAGAGTAGTGAGTCCTTGACCCTCGTGGGCATGGATAAGAGTTTGAGCAGGCTATGCCTGTGAGGTGTATATATACTGTACGTACCCAAACCTGAAGACATTGCATGTGTAGCTGTGCGCACTTTACCAAGAACCTGATAGGTGGATCAAGGTTGATATTGGGGCCCTTTTATCTTGCACCATATTAACTACTAAGAAATTTGGAGTAGGATAAGAGAAAAGAAATTCCATATCTTTTGCGGGAACATAATATTTTTTGTTTGCCCATTTGTAAGTCAGAGGGATGGACCCTCTGGGTCTGCCAGAGCACTTTAGTGTGGTTGAGAAGGGCATCATTAACAGGGAGTGCTATTGTGGAGGATGAGGATGTGTGCAGGATATAGAGTAGTTTGTTGTTGATCTTGCACTTCCTCCAAAGGAATCTGGAGGGAGTCTGCAATCCTGCAAAATAATTCTTGAAAATGCTTGAAGTCATCATCAGCAGTAGGAGGTGGAGGCATGATAGCCTCATCAGGGGAAGAAGAGAAATGCCCTGTACATGGCCCAGGGATCCCAGTATGGACAATGTGGAATGTGGGATTGCATCCATGGTGGTCCATACCAGGGTTCTGATGTGGATTGTGAATAGTGAGGATGTGTAGAGGAAGCCGTTTGCATGAGATGGGGCATTCCTCCTCTTCTTCTTCCTCATCACTGGAGAAGTGGGGGTGCTGTCCTCAAAGGAGAAAGGCACGTCCAGAGAGGAGGGTGGAAGTGGGGGAGGTCATGTCTAAGCAGTGGTGACTCAGGCATGTCAGATTCAAGTAGGTCTTTAGGGCATCTGAATTCTTAGGTAGGAGGAAGGAGCATCCTCGGCACTGGTGCATGGCTCAGTGCTGAGGGAGAGATGCAGTCTCCTGAGCAGCCAGCAAGTGGAGCTGAAGACTTGCTCAGTGCCAAGGACTTGCTTGGTGCCATAAAGGATGCTGGTCCTAGAGGTATTTTTGGTGCTGTAGCTCCCAGAAGTTGGTCTGTCTTGGTCTCCAGAGCTGAAGACCGCGCCAAGGGCTGTAGGTCTGCCTGGTTAGTGTCTTTAGATAGTAGTTTTGTTCTGGTACCAGAGGTGGTCAGATGGGCCCAGGAGCTATGTCCCATGTCTGAGGATGTTGTGGCAACTGACATAGCAGGGGATAGTGTTCTGGCAGGCTGTGCCTCAGAGAGTGAGGAGGGAGCCTGTTTCTTCTCGTCAGAGTGACAAAGAGATGATTCCCTCTTAGAGGGACATGGGAAATGAGAATCAGCGGACAACTTCGCAGAGCATGAAAGCCACACAGGCAAGAGTCCAGGCCTGGGTCTGATGCTGGTCGCAGTGATTTTTCCATGAGAAGTTGTAACTGAATGTCCCAGTCTTTTCTGGCCTTGGTAGTCAAGTCATGTCAGTGGGAACACTTGCAGGATGTGTTCCTCTCCCAGAGAGCAAATACACTGCAGGTGGTCGTCCATTACTGGGAATGTGACCCAACAAGAGAGACACCTCTTTAATCCAGGAGATCTGGGCATAAGGGAAAAAGCTTCCTGGTTGAGATGAGAGGCAAGCAGGGAAACAAACACCTAAGCTAAGAAGTAATAATTAAGGTAAAATGGAAAAAAAAATTGGAGATAGAGGGAAGAAGAAGAAAGTACTAAAATTAACAGGTAAGGCACTATATAAGGAGGCAAAGGGAAAAGCAGTCTCTGCTGTGGATTCCATCCCAGACCAAAGGTGGAAGAGAAGAAACCGGGGAGTGGTCAAACCGCACATCACTATATATACATTCTGCTTATGGCGTGAGAGGGGGGAGGTGTGCATGTGCAGTCCAATGGGTACTGCTGATGATCTCTGATCCCAGACACAGAGGGCACTGCTGCACCTACAGTAGAGCACCCATAGCAACATCACAGGAAGAAGTCTCGCCAGCCCATTGTGAATGGACTATTCAAGCTTGATGGGCCATTAAGAAGAATCAACTCTCTAGATAGCTCTTCATGAAGATACCTCGGACAGCAAGGAGCCAATGGCCATTCCTATGATTCAGCAAAACATGTAAAGGCATGTGATGTGGACATGTCACCTCAGACTCCATCTTTGTCAGTAACTTTCCATACACGGGCTGTGAGCATTGTTTGGCACAGTAACGTTCCATACACATGGCAGAGAATATACAAGACAGCCGAGACATCTCCATTTTGCCTCATTCCTGCTCCAATTCTTTGGACTGTGAGGAGTATTTTGAACAGTGGACCGAGGACCTTTAAATCTTTTGGAAGTTACCAGAGAGACGTTTCCAAGCCAGCAGACTATTCCATCATTGTTACAATCTTGATCTAAGGACTTTGCAATCATTTGCATGTATATGGTCTTTTAACCATTTATAACTCTATTCTTTTACTAATGAATTCGAAGTTAGTTTGCTAAGGATTGGCTGACAGCAATATATATTGACCTGGGGGTAAGTGTCTGATCCTTTGGGATTGGTAGAAGCTCACATCTGGTGAATTGGGTTTTCAGTAACAGCTCACTATATTAGACCAATTTGTCTAGATGGGAATCAAGGGCTGGAATGCCTAAGGGGAGGGCTGTGTTTGGCTTCTTGTTAAACAGTGTGGTGCTACAGAAGCTCTTTTGCTACTGGTTTAGTGAATCTAATTATAGAATAAACCACCAATTTTAGGGGATTATCTGCCTGTTTCTTGCAGTCTGCCCTGAGCATGGTATTCTCAATGTGGTTCATTCTAGGTACCTGGTCACAATAGCAACATTTATCTATTGTTTCTATTTGAAAGCTGTTTTTGCTGTTGTACATCTCATTATTCAATGTCTTGGACAAAGATGCAGGTAAGCGTGTTTTTATTTAAAATTTGGAGCATTTTATTATGAATATGCAATAAATGCTTTCTCAATCCCATATGGCTGTTTGTTTTTATGTAGGGCTTGATCCTGCCCCCACTGCCCTAGGGAGTAGAACTGGGCCCTTAATTATGAGAAAACATACACACTGCTTCCTGTCCTTTGAGACCATATATGCATTCATCTATATTTCTGCCTGTTGAGATATTGCCTCAGAAATGCACCTTTAAGTGAATTTTCTATCATAGGATGTTCACAAGACTCAACCAAGGTATACTGTTTGTTGTTTCCCAAAATGATTATATATTTAGATGCAAATACTGGCCCTCTTCAATGGGCACAGATACCTCCAGACACAGCAGAACTGGCGCTATTTCATTTACAGAAAGGGTGAAAGAGCAGAGTTTAACTTCAATGATGAGAATCTGAATGTCTCCCACCATTGAGAATAACCAAAGTCCAGGAGGTGCAGTGGATACATGACATTTTTATGCCCCTTTTTAAGCTATACAAACTAAAGGGAAAAAGTTTACATTATATTACTGCATAGAAGCAATTTTGTAATTTATGCTGCTCAGTTTAAAGCATCTCATTTTTTATATAATAACAAAAAAGCAGAGAGTCTGAGTCATTAGAAAAATACTTGCACAGCTGGTAAATTGTATTTTCTATGGATCTTATACATGTGATTCTAGGTGCTAAGTATACACATTATTAGGGTCAATCCAAATCCAGGCTGTTGAAAAATCCAGAGTGTTGGAGGATTTAGGATCTTCCTGTGGATTTTGTTGTAGCCTTCAATCTATGCTTTCATTAAAATAATACATGTTCTAACTTTCTGGATTCTAAAGGGAGCCTTCACAATGTAAGCCAATGTACTGTCATTGATTATACAGTGAAGCAGGCTAAAACAATATCACAAAGATGTGTAAAATAATATTTTGTTCTGTATTTTTGTCTTCTCATAACAGATTAATCCACCAGTTCAGAAGTGAAGTGCTACTGTGAAATGGCCCCAGTCCCTCAATCACATGGAGATAGCGTTGAGAGATTTTGGTAGCAAATATCCTTTTATGAAAGGGCATGAACTGCATGTGTCCCCCTACTAGAAGGCAAGACGCTATCAACACTATCTCATTCTTTCCTGATTTTCTGGGCTACCCTGACTGAAAGGGAATGGGAAGGGACAATATTGGTCTGCTGAAGAGATTACATCTGTTCTCCGCTCCTTTTTGTCCTAATGCCTGGAAATAGAGATCTAGTTTCCCTACTCTCTGAAGATCATTTCTAGGATGTTCTGGTTTAAACTCCCACTCTCCTAGAGATTGTGTTTGCCTGTTCTTCCAGCCTCATTTACATATTGAACTTCCTTTGGTTGTATTTTGCAGAGATCATTACAAATTCTATTCTGGCCAGAGCAGAATTCTGAGATCTGCAGAATGCATGGAAGACTTTGGTCCCCTGGTCAGTTCACTTAGGCTACTGCTGTGCAGCTTTTGCTCTGCAAGAGAATAATATTTGAGTTTAGATGTCTTGTGACTCTTAAGTCAATTGCTTTTATCTTTGTCTGACTGTCACAGGGTAGACTCACCCACTGCAGGTGGCACCTCCTCCTAGCAGCTCTGAGGAATTCGCTCTTTTCCATGGCCGACCCCTCCCCTTATGTTCTCTCTACCTGTTGTTCTCTCTCTTACTCTGTGGCTGCTTGCTCACTCCAGGAATTGTAGCTTCCTCTTCGTGACTTGGCCTTCCGGGGTATAGAGTCTCACTTCACCTGCTGTTCAGGCAATGCCATTCCATCAGTGGCTGGTAGGGGAATCCAGGGCCGCCCACCATTTTGGATTCCATTCCAGGGACCCTACAACATGCAGCCAAGTTCTGCTCCGTCCCCAGTCTTGCTGCTCTCTCTCTGGGCAGCTTCCTACTCTGCCTCCCACAGGCTTTCTTATCCACGCTTCTCTTCTGGCTGCACCCTTCCCTCAGGGCCAGGCTCCCAGGGGTTCTACTCTTTCCCTGGCTTTCCTTCTGCCCTCTCTAATGAGCAGAGGGTTGCTGTAAACTTCCTCACTGCAGCCATTTCTGTTGCCAGCATCCTGGCTTTATACTAACCCAGCCCACACCTGCTCAGCTGAGCTTCATTGTCCAATCAGGGGTTGCTTCTCCAGCCTAAACCCCTCATATGTGGTCTATCTCACTAATTGGCCCTTTCTCAGCTTCATTAACCCTTTCAGGGTTGGTGTGGGGTGAACACCCAATAAAAGTGACCATAAAAGCATTCCAATGCCAGAGGCAAGGGGCTCCACTGGTATCAGGTAGTGAGTTTCAGCTGGCCTGATCAGTTCAATGTACCCCAATTCACTCATGTCATAATCTGTCAACTATCTACTAGTTGTCATGTAAGGTATCGTTGGAAAACCCATAACACACTGATCATTAATATTTGTGTGTGGTATATGTATGGTGAATGCTTAAAGGACTGTATAAATGTGAAAGAAATATAGGACTAAAATGTGCTTGAACCAGATAAGTCTGGGGAATGGATAAACAGGCCTTTTCCAGATAAAGGAAAGATCAAAACCTCCATCCAGGTGTAATCATAGTCTGGTAGCCATTCATTGGCAATTTGGAGGCTGCAGGGACAGATAGTTTGCATTACAGAAAGCACCAGCAGTGAAGAAACCAGCATGGGACTTTCTCCATTAGACTCCATGGCACCTTTCCTCAAAGCAAGGACACTGAACTTTGAGAAGGATACATTCCGAAAGTTCACTGAATTATAAGAGAGGGGCAAGGAATCCTAAGTTATCTTTCACCTAAGAAGACAAAGGAACCGAGCACTTTGGACTTTCTGAGAGATCCTGACCAAGGAAATGGTCAGTCACTTGGCTGGAAAGAGATGTGGTAAGACTCTGACCTAGAACCAAGACTGTAGTTTTGTTAAGTCTTAGACACTAGAAAGCACTTTTGTTTTAACCATTTGTGACTTTGTCTTCTATTTTAAATCTCTTAAAAACTCTCTTTTTGATTAAACTTGTTTTACTTTTATTCTAAATCAACCCAGTGCTGTGTTTGACTTGAAGTGATTATTAACTTGTTAAAGCAACAAGCTGCTGTGCTTTTGTCTCTTTAAAGGAGCAACGGACCTTATTACTCCTCTGAATGTTCCAGGAGAGGGCTGGATGTTTCAGGGCAGATGGTTTGGGGGAAATTTGGGACTGGAGTTATGTTGGAGTCACTTGGCTGGTGGTGACCAGAATGTCAGAATGACTGTGGTGCGACAAGCAGGCTGCTGGAGTCAGAGCTGCTTAACCCGGGCTACTCAATACCCAGATCCTTAGTACATGCTTTTATGCTGGCTGGGAGCATCCAGATAGGGAGCCACAGCAGCAGAGCATTTTAAGGCACCCAGGGTTACGGGACAAGTGATGATGTGGTCTTGGTTGAACCCCAAAATTTGACACTTGGGCTTTTATATTTCTCCTTTCTGCTTCAGACCACTTGCCTTTGGCATGTGTGAGGGTCCATCTGTGCTTCTTGGAGAGAACTCTTTTTATAGTAAGGTCAGGGCTTTTTCAGTAGAGATTCTTTTCCATCTCTAGCTTCTATGATTTTGGAACAGGGAAAGGAATCTCCTGTTCTAGCTGATGAATATCATGGTGTAGTAGTACCTCCAGGACTCTGCTGGTATCCCTGGCTCCATGGTAGAAAGATGACTGCACAGGAAATCCAAATAGTGTAAATTGGATCTTCTCATTATAGAGGAGTGCTACTCAAGTTGTTGCTGTTTATTATTTGTATTGCAATAGCCCATAGGAGCTCAAGTCATGGACCAGGGACCAATTGTGCCAGGCATTGAACAAACACAGAACAATATGTGAGTCCTTGTCATACACTGTACGCTCCTTGGGACAAGAGATGGATACAACAGACCGATGGGAAGCACAAGAAAACACTGAGACAATATTGGTCAGCATGATAGGCAATGGTCTCAGCATGCTGGTTGCCTAAATGTTAGTTTTGTTTGTTTTTGTAGGCCTCACTGCAAATGAGATTTTAAGGAGGGCTTTGAAAAACAACAATGTGGCTTTGCAGATGTTTACAGGAATTATTCTCATGCATGAAAAGAAAACACAAAGTTGCTTGTTTGAAAATTTAAAATGAAGGCTGGCATGACTGGGAGAGTCACTCTTTCCTCATATGTCATGTTTTCTAGACCTTTAATCATTTTTGTTGCTCTTCTCTGGACTTTCTCCAATTTGTCCACATCTTTCCTGAAATGTGGTGCCCAGAACAGGACACAATACTCCAGTTGAGGCCTTATCAATGCGGAGCAGAATGGAAGAATTACTTCTCATGTCTTGGTAGAAACTAAAAATCATGGATTGAACAGAGACACTGGATTTATGGCTTATTACAACAATCTGTAACCCACTAACCCCCTCTTTTTGTCTTACGGCTGCAGAGTTGTTAATGGGCCACTCTACCTTGAATGGTCCCTTACAAAAAGTGCTAACTACTTCTGTTAAACAATCTGTTATATTTTGTATTTTGTTGTGACGCTGGAAGTTCCTTTCCCAGACCTGAAGAAGAGCTCTGTGTGGCTCGAAAACTTGTCTCTCTGACCATCAGAAGTTGGTCCAATAAAAGATATTACCTCATCCACCTTGTCTCTCTAATGTCCTGGGACCGACACTGCAACAACTACACTTTTCTACTGTTGGTAGTCTGAGGTAAGAAAAGATTTCTCTTCCCACTCCACTCCACTCCACCCAAATTTTGGGCAGAGGGCTGTCTTTCTGAATGGAGGAATAGTGGGGTACATAATGCATTTCAGGTAGATGACTGGTACCAAGCTCACAAAGCTGCTTCCTTGCATTACTGGGCCTGTATCCTAGAACCTTTGGAGTGATGTATGAAAATGAGAAGACTTAATTATGTTCACTTGAATATTAACATTTAATTATGTCATTGGTGAATGACATACTGGGCACCTTCTGAAATTTTTTGTGCATTGTGACTGGATTGTATCTGGAATGACATGACATTCCATTCATTTTTTCGGATAAAAAGCTAGTGCCAAAATGAACACACATTCTATTACCAGTCCAGGGGTTAAATAAAAAAATGCGATACCTGGTCCAGATCTGACCTATTAAAAAAAACTAGACATATAGTGGGCAATGTCTGCTCAGTGAACTCGGTTAGTTTTTTTTTTTTTTGAAGTCTCATCAGTGTTTTCCAACTTCCATCACACAAATTAATGTGCAGTGATTAATATTAAATCCAAAATGTTAACACAAAATTACATAAATGAAAAACAAAAGTCAAAGTTAAAACAAATGGCAATTATTGATAATGGCTGGACAGATGGCCAGCAGAAATTATTAGTAAAATTAATAACTTTTTTTAACAAAATGACTTAAACTTGCAAAATGTGCACTTAGCTAGCCTATGTAAACATGTGTCCCTATCACTCGTGGTCATACTCACTTGGCCTGTCTTGTCTTAATTTAGGGCTAGATTGGACCTTTCGGCTCAGTCCTGAGCAGGGCCAACTGCAGTACTGTGCTAGGGATGGAGTAATGTACAACAGCCCTCCTCAGGGTGTAGCGTGCTTCCTCCTTAACCCTCCCCGCGTACACAGGCAGCACTTCCCACTCTCTGCAGCTCCCTCCTCTCGTTTGCTGGAGTGTGGGGAGCATTAGGCATTCAGTCCCTGCTCTTCCATTTCCCCTGCCCCACCCCCGACCTGTGATTCTTGCAGGTCTTAAGAACCCATGCAGGGATTTGGGGGGACTTACTTCCCTTCATAGTTACATAAAACTAGAATATAGTCTAACAGTGTGTAAATTCTTCTGAGGAAAAACCACCTCCTCCTATGCATTTTTACTATGATTAGCACAATGGAACCCTGATGCTGCCTAGGGCTTCTGGGTGTTACAGTAATATAAATAACAGTGGTAATTAACAACTCAGGTACCAGCAATGACTATGCCTCACCTAAAGAATCCACATTATATAATTCTGTGTTACATCTCTTCTGATGTGCCCTTTGTCCTTATACAGTCTGAACTAGATTGTAATATCTTCAGGGTGGGGGCCATATTTTTTCTGTAAAGCCACAGACACACATAAGGCTACTGTAGAAATAATAAATATTTTATTCAAATAGAATTTGTCTCAGACAGTCAGAGTGCAGGAGTGCTGCTCAATACTGAATTATAAGTGAAGCCCTTTCAGTTATGCAATTCCCTCACTCATCGATTCAAGGAGTCTGATTTCTATAAACACTATATTATTTCACAATAGCTATACAATATGCAAAATCACTGTATATTAATTTAGATGAAAAGAAAGCTTAAATTAAGGGATTGCATTGTAGCTTCTGCTGAAATATTTCTGGTTCCAACTGCAGGGCCAGCTAATCAGATTTCATGCTTCAGGGCTTCAACCGGTCACCTGCAGGAAGGATTTTTTACCCCCAATACAGAAGTAGTCAGATATATTCTGGGTTTTTTTCACCTTCCTCTGAAGCATCAGGCATTAGCTACAGCTGAAGATGGGACACTGGATGGTGGGACCAGTGGTATAGAGAATCCTCTTTCCTAGATGTATGTCTGGTGTGTCTTGGTCACATGTTCATGGTCCAACTGATCACCAGATTTGGCATCATGAAGGAATTTTCGCCCATGTCAAACTGGTAAGGACCCTGAAAATTTTTTTGCCTTCTTCTACAGCATAGAACACAGATCACCTGCTAGGATCATCTGGGCATATTTCACCTAATCAGGTTTTCAGCCATTGCAGGGGCCTCGGACACCGGTGGCTCTTTGGTCTCTCCTGTTCTCTGCCTGTGGCACACAACACGTAGTCTCCTGAGGACTGAGCTGCTTTAGTCTAACCCAAGTTATTGCTCTTAACACAGGGGCCACAGTGAAATTTAATGGCCTGTGATATATAGATGATCTAATGGTCCCTTCTGGCCTTAAACTCTGTGAAATAAACACAGGGCAAAAGAGGATCCTAATGCATAGTGGAGAAAGATAGTTTAGCCCTATAAATAACTAATATAGGTAACTGGATATTTAGCAGTCTCCAAACGAAAAGTAGCTGCCGTTTCCTATACCAACACCAAACATAGCCTCATTCACTTCTTACTTTTTAATAACACATTTTTCTGATTGTAAAAGTAATAACATTAGGACAAAACTGACTTATAAAATACTGTTTACACTTAAAGTAAATGGGCACTATTCTCATCACACATTTCCCCCTTAAACCTTCAAAGCTGGATTGTTTCAGAAGAATGCTATGTGGGAAGTTCCTACTGAAGTAACTGTTTTTGCTTGAACAATACAGCAAAAATCGGGCAAAATCTGTATGAAACTTTTAGCATATAAATCTTCTGATGCCTGGAGGTTGTAATAAATTATATGTTTCTTTACAAATATGTTTTAAAACTATTTGTCATACTTACACTGCATGTACTGGAACCAGGAATAACATCATTTTGGCTGACTCTGCTTGTTTTTATATGTATTCACAAGTTAGTTGCACAAATGAAAGATGTCCCTTTATACCCAAAGGCTCCATAAAACAATAGAGTGTGAAAATGGGCCAAACATTTCTTATGCACTAAAACCTTAATATTGAAAGAATGGTAATCTAACTCCATTGTTTCCAATGTATCTAAAACTTTATGTACTGCAAGTTTTAACCCTTAAAAAATTAAATATGCATACACACTTTCCATCTTTTACTTATAAATTATACGCTTAAAAGATGAATAATGCATTTAATGTACACTACAACTCTAGTACTACACCGGTCATTGTGGTATTTGAATGAAAGATCAGGCCCACAAGTATTCTGGGGGCGGGGAGGGGGAAATGCAGTGGCCATAATAATTCAAAAAGCAAATTGAATTTATGTAAATTGATTTTGTGTATGTACCTTATTATTTTATAGCAGTTTTAACATGTGTTAAACCCTTATAAATTTAAGAAAACACACAAACCCTTATAAATTTGAGAAAACACACAAAGATGCCCCTGGCTGCCCTGATCGATCCACTGAGTGAACAACCCACTGACAAGGGAACCACTGGTGGAAGCAGACAAAGACCCTGAGTATATCTGGCCCAGGTAGGGTAAGATGTGCACTAATATGTCTCAACTTGAGACACCAGGTCATTTAGGTCAGGACACCATGCGGAGGCAGCTCTAAGTATATCTAGCCCAGTGGTTCTCAAACTTTTTTTTTCGTGGACCACTTGAAAATTGCTGAGGATCTCGGCACTTAATGATCTTTCCAAATGTTGTTTGTACTGCTAGCTAATTTTTGTAAAGTGCTTTGGATAGAAGTGCTATATATAAAAAACCTTAATAATAACTTTTTTGTTCTACAAATAAAAGCACGCAACTCATATTTTTATGAGTAGTCTTACCTTTCTAATGCAATGGATATGCCCCTCTCTCTCCAGCTGCAGCAGCCCCTGAGCTGGGAAGGAGGGGTGTGTGTGGATCTCTCCCTTGCAGTGGTGCAAGTAGAAATCCTTTCTTGCCAGTACTGTACTCATGGGAGAGACACAAGGGGGGGCATGTGACCTCCCCACATGACCCTCCATGTGTCTGCTCTGCAGGGAACCCCCTCCCCCCGCGTACAAAGACCTGGTTAAACAGATGCAGTTGTAAAATGATGCTTTGGGCCCCTGGTGCCACCTGTACTTCCAAGTGTCATTGAGGATCCAGCAACACTCCAAATTGAAAACTTCTTAAATGGAAGAAGGATAAAAGGACAATCACCCCACTTTCCCTTAACATACTATCAGTGCTTCCCTTATGTCCAAACTAAGCTTCTGCCAGCTTATCTTTATCTAACGGTATGTCCAGAGTGACCTAGACAAATTGGAGGATTGGGCCAAAAGAAATCTGATGAGGTTCAACAAGGATAAGTGCACTTAGGATGGAAGAATCCCATGCACTGCTACAGGTTGGGGACCGACTGGCTAAGCAGCAGTTCTGCAGAAAAGGATTTGGGGATTACAGTGGATGAGAAGCTGGATATGAGTCAGCAGTGTGCCCTTGTTGCCAAGAAAGCTAATGGCATATTGGGCTGCATTTGTAGGAGCATTGCCAGCAGATTGAGGGAAGTGATTATTCCCCTCTCTTTGGTACTGGTGAGGCCACATCTGGAGTATTGCGTCCAGTTTTGGGCCCCCCACTACAGAAGGGATGTGGACAAATTGGAGAGAATCCAGTGGAGGGC